TTTTCTTTCACAACATGACCATTAAAGATTTGCTTTGTGTGACTACACATGTATAACCTATATTGTACTGCTTGCCATCTCAATGAGGAGAGAGTAGAGAGGGACGAAAGGAGAGAATTTGGAACTCAAAGTTTTAGAAGCGAAAGAATTGTTTTTACATGTAACTGGGGGAAAATAAAATACTAAATTAAAAAAAGAAAAAAGAGAGAGAAAGGGAAATGCCACCAATTCCTGACTCCTCTTAATTCCTTGGAGCAAGAAGCTCTCCCCTGAGGAGGAAAGGGAAGGGCCACTCCTTCCTCCATCCCAGGAAAAAATGGCAACCCACTAAGCCTCTTCTGTTTATCTTTCCTTGTCTTAAGTGAATGATTATTAATCCTGAGGTGGACATATCCAAGCTCAGAAGCCATCTTGTGTGTTCACAAGGTTTGACAGCCCTAGGTTCCTTGGTCAGAGCTCACTGGTGACAAAGGGAAGTGTCTTCAGCAACTATTTCAGCATCTTGGAGCAAATGACCAGAAGACATCTAACATGAAGGGGATAAATACAGAGAGAAGGTGATATGTAAAATATGCCTACTCAGCAGTCCCACAAACTGCTTTAACTTCTGATGAAGCTTTAGTCTTAACTTCTCAGCAAATCATTGCTGCCCCTTTTCCCTTGTTACTTAATCCTGTTTGAAGACAGTCAATGCACACTTGTCTTTTGTGGTTAGCATACTAAACACTGAATAGCTATCTACTCCATCCTTTGGGAGGACTGTAGACATAAATGACAGCTTAAACCTTATGCAATTTTTCTCCAGGACACTGTGATGGGGATATAGTGAGTTGAAGTCACACGTAGGTCTGAATTTAGTCCAACCAATGTGCACGGGCCCAGAGAAGAAAGGAAGTCCAAAGTGGAAGGGGCATAGGCATAGCGTCTCCAACTTAGCAATGGTTACTAGAGAAGTAAGCAGAGGAGAGTAATACATATAACAAATACCATTATGTAAATGAGAATGCTAAAATAAAGCCTTATGCTTATGCTTATAATCCGTTCTGCCCCCAACGAGGATATGAGGAAATGCACCTCCTTCCATTCACTGAAGAGATTTGGGACTGAGGGTGCAGGACATGGCACATGGTCTCCCTGGTCAATTAGTTAGTCTGGGGTGTCTTCATTATAAGAGAAGGCTGGGGATGTATGTAAAACCAGAAATGACTGATGTAAAAGTCAAGGACATTCATTTATAGATACATTTGTGCATGGATATGTAGAAGGGGGATGGAAGGGGAAAGGAAATTCAGTAGCAAAGAAAGGAGATGATTCAAGTCTTACAAGGGATGTCTTCAGGAAATGTACACGTAATCAGGGAGGTAGTTTGATAAGTACTGCAGCCTACTCTATCCACTGCACTGCTGAGGTGCCTTCAAAAGCATCTCAAGGAGATGCTAGGTAATGAATCCATTTCCATACCTGTCTACCGTGAAAGCAATATGAAATAACATTTTAATTCTGTTGAATTAAAATTTACAAAGCTGTTAGCATAAAAATTCCAGATAGAGATTTTTCAAAAACCACCAAATAACCAGTCAATTATGACTATTGATCAAAAGTGGTTCTCACATTGTAGAATGCTAGACTCATTTCAGAAGTATGCCTGCTGGTACCCTTACAATGCCACATTACTGCAGCTATGAGCCACCTGGGTTGTGACTTGACAGAACACCATTTCCTCCCAAGTCATGCTTCTGTCGCAGCTGACAGAAGTTTATCTACAGTCTTTTTTTTAATAAACACTTGAAATTTTACATTTTTAGATTAAACTAAAAAAACTTCATTTTAAAAATCCAAGTTAATTTCTATCATTTCTTTTGTTGATGCTTCTAGGAGTGGGAAGGTCAATTATACTGAGTCAGGATACAAGAATGATACAACTATAATCCCAAAGGATTGAAGACACTATGCACGATCTCATGTACCATCTTCCTTAAGTCAAGGTTAAAAACACTAAGAAATGTTCAAAATCTACTTTAAAAGAGATTTCAAACTGCACCCATGAACACTTCCAATAATGTAATATAGGAAAAAAAAGTTACATGGATACTCATTTTTATAAATCATTATTAAAATATTACAGAAAAGCTCATGAATGCTACTTAAGAGTTTCCAATGCATTCATCCACACAAATTCACATTTAACATGCCTCTATAATACAGCAATTTCAACGTATTTTAGCTAAAATTTAAGACTAGGAAAAATACGAGCAAATAAGAATGACATCATCAAATCAGAATTCTCTTTACATTTAGACAAGTTAAAACTAGTACTTTGGGGAAAGCATTCCTTAAAATATCTAAGTTTTAAATGGTGACACCAACCTTGGAAACAGGAAACATTTTCTGCCTTTTTATAGTCTCTGTTCGTGGAAAGAGAAATCCAACCTTGAAAAACAAGTTAGGTAAACCTCAAAGATGACTTGGTTGTAATACAATTAATGAAACGACATTTTTTCAGGCAATAAAGTATCTAAGTGATCAGGCTATCACTACTGTGTCTGCTATAACCATTAAGCTGAGCAGAGTAAGATTATAGTTGATACTTCACAGGATGCCATTTGGATCAAAGGGTCTAAAGAGGAAATTCACATATTTCCTGTTTACCCAACAATAGGCTGTCCTATCTTAAATCAAGCCATAATTACTTTTATCTAGATTCTTCTATTTCAGTTCCTTCTCAAAGAATCACACTTGTTATTGAAAGCCTAGCAATATTTTCCCTTCTTATATAGTGAAAATTGAAGCTGACTAATGTGTATATTTTCAGCACTTATATACATTTTTGGATTCATTGGTAAGCACAAAGAAGCAAACATACACATACACACACACTACATTAGAGAGACATGGGAAAAAAATCGTCTAAGAGTTCTACAACTCCGTGTATAAAAAAACTGACCTTATCTAAAACACAATACTCTTATTTCTTGCTGCACTTATTACTTGCTATACTTGTTACAAAAAACCTCAGTTCCATTTGAGTAAACCCACATCTAAAGCCACACATTTGCAGTTTCCCAGCTGAATCTGTTTTGCCTGACCACTGTTCTAATTCTCACACCTTGTTTCAGGGGGCCAGAGAAGCCGTGATGTCAGGAGAAGAACATGATGTCAAATAGAGGAAAGACTTGTGAATCCTTCACAAATACACAGTTCAAGAGAATTCATGACAGAAGGGAAGGGTCAACTGATACTATATCACACCCTTTCGCATTTCATTGTATAGTTTAGCACCCACAGCAAAGAAAAAACAGAAACAGTAAGAAAGGGAGCATAGCCCATTAGCGATGCTCTCACTTGGCCTTTCAAAAGATAAAACTGAGTAAATGGAGAAGAGAGACAATAATTTCTCCAATGAAAGGAAAACATACCATAACAGAAAGCTGGGAGCTAAAGAGGAGAGAAAGATACCAGCAATTAGGGATTTTGTCCCAGGAAGGAAGAAAACATCGGGTCAGAGGAATAAAGGACAAGGATCATTTGACAGAAATAAAACTGGTGAGGACTGGAAATAATCCAAAGCATTATCATCCACTGGAAAGAGGCCAGGGCTTTGGAAAAATGAAGTGCCTATTATTTCAAAAGAACATCTTTTGTCTACTGTACCATGTTTACCTAAACTTCATCAACCCAAAAAACCCTTTCGCACGTGCATAACAGAGGAGAATGGTGAAGCAGACCCTCAATAAAGCAAGCTCGTAAGAAGAGGAACAGACCCTGGATGACAGATGCTGTGGAGCTAAGGAGCAGGCTAACAAGGGAGAAGTATGGTGAAAGAGCAACAGGCCCCTGACTTCAGGGCAGGGAAGCTTCCAAGACTGGTTTATCTAACACTTGCACATACACATTAGATAAACCCAATTTAAAGACTTCACTGATCTAAAATCGGGCTCTGTGGCCTGTGCAGTGGTGGGAGGTCACCAAGAGGGAAAGATCTGGGGGGAGGGTACACTTGGGCTGCCCTGGAAGTCGTCAGGAAGACCTGGCTTCAAGGTTGGCCTCTGACACACACTGGCGGGAGGGGGAACCCAGGGCAAACCCCTTCACCTCTAGCTGCCCCAGGAACCACCCAGCCTGGAAATGACAAGAAAGATCTCCGTCAATCAGCCATGTGAAGCTCTTTATACTAATGAAATCACAGGTCCCAGTCAAAAAAAAAAGTCTGTTACAGTATATGGCATATGTGAGTTCAATTACCTCAAGGCACATGGTTCCTAGACGTGCGTGGGTATATATACATATGCATGTGTATATGTAGATGGCCAGACATATCTATATTCCTAGCCTACCTACTGGGAGTTTCTAATTAGATTTCCTAAACCTAAACCCACCTCTCTGCTGAATTTCCTTATTTCTGTCAAGGACTCCTGGGCTGCACATTTAGAGACATGCACAGAGTGGAGCTCTCCTTCCAAAGGCTTCCAGGCCAGCTGCCCCCACTCCCACCCACCTGACTGCCTAGCTTCCTTTCAGGTCCTGTCCTCCCCTTAAGAGTGTCATCTCCTTAAGGGCGGAACTGTCTTTCTTTTTGGTCTTTGTAATCCTAGCTTAGCACCCACACAGAAGGTTTTACTGACTTCACAACTTGGCCCCGACCTACCTTTCCAAGCACACAAACATCATTCCTTCACACTTCTTTCTGTAACTCACCTATTCTATCTGTGCCATCCCTGGAATCCCTTCCTTGCTCACCTGACCTCAGAACCCCCATACACCTTCAAAACTCAAGTCACAAGGCATCTTCTGAGCCCTTTCCAGATTGCCCCAACTACTATGCCTTCCCATTCCCAAAATCACCTTGCATTTATCATACGATTTTTGCCACTATCTCCTCAGGGCCTGGCACATAACACAAATCAGTTGACTGAACAAATTGTATTCTTTTTTAAAAAATCCCTATTTTGTGTTTTTTTCTTTAAATAAAAGTTTATTGGAAAACCAGTATTGCAATAATGCACATTTATGGTCATCAAAAGAAAAGGTAAATGTTAGAAGTTAAAAAGGTGCCAAGAATAAGAATTCTCTTTTAGGCTTCAAGAGGGTGATGATTTTAAAATTATTGCAAAAAAATAAATGCAGAAAGTCTACATATTGAGTAAAGTAATTGCTTTACTAAAAAAAAAACCTAATGGTTCAATGTAAACCAACATGAAGTTTTACAAATTTTCAGCATTTGCTGGACGTTGCTGTTGTAAGACACTGATTTGAAAGCTGAACACTACTGATATCTTTTCTTTTTCTTTTTTAAAAACATTTTTACTCATCAAAACACACCAAAATAATACAAGCGTTTGTACACGACAGACAGTCACATGCTGAACTGTTCAATGCAGGAAGACTTCACGATCCAGGACCCATACCCATGCTGCTGCAAGTACGACTTCAACAAAGTTTTGGCTTCCTGGTAGGATCCAGACATGCACTAAGGAAAGAAAAACATGATGCATTAGAGGGTGATCAAACAGGAAAGGGGGAGACATTGGTGACTGGAAACTGCAGGGACACTGTGAGAACATTAAGATCCTTAACTAAACAAGGTAAGCCCACCTACTTCTTTACAGGGAAGATGAGAACATTCTTGGAAAATTCTATTTCCATTCAAAAAGATTTTTTAAAATCCACCCATGCTCAGAAATTTCTCTAATTCCTAATATAAACATACATCCTAAAATTACTCTCAGCTAGTTTTTAATCTGGTAAAGATCACCTTGAGAAAATGAGTCATTCCTCTTTGGGGCATTTGGCCTAATTCCTTCTAAGGCCCATGTGACTGCTGGTCACCAGCCACAGCTCATTTCCTCTGGCTTCCCCTAGGGCCACCACCAGCAGATTCATCTCCTCCTGCCTGTGAACAGGCAGACCCCTGTGGGAATTTCCACCAAGTCCCACCCTCTACCCGCTTTCTGTCATAAAGGACCACAAGAGGGCTGAGGGTGAGATGATGGAAGAATTCTGAGTTCAAAAATTTAATAAATAGATCAGAGCTCAAATTCCCTAGTAATCAATGACTGACACCTTTCAGATGCCAACCTTTTTAGAATCTAATTAAATAGAAAATATTCTGGACATGTAATGATGGATGATTCTCACAAAAAAAATAAGGGGAAAAATAAAGATGATTCTCACCAAAAAAAGGGGGGGGGTAATTCTCCACAATGAATCACTCACCTAACAAAGAACTGAATGTAAAAATTGATTTTTGGTGCCTTCGGGGAATTTTCCGCAATTATTTCTTGTAGAACTTAGAAAAGCAACCTTACTAATTTAGTAGAGTTAGAAAAAATATTAAGGATTACAAATTCACACTACTCACTCCTAGAGAGAATGCCCAGGCAGATAGAACCGTATAGCATTATTAACAATGCATTAATATACCTAATTCCAGCACTAAACTCAGAAAAGCTAATTTTCCCCATAAAACTGGGGAGTTCCAACAAATTAACTAGAGATGACTAGATCTGAAACCTTGCACATGTCAACCTCTCCAGGCCTCAGTTTCATTTACAGATGAGAAAATTCAATGAGATAATCTTTACAGGCTCTCCCAACTTTAACCTTCAATGATTTTAATACACAGGAACCATATAATCTTTGCTGACTCTGCTCATCTAAAGGATAATCACAAAAAGTTTTTTGAAGATCTCTTCCTACATATTAAGAAATGTCTCAGGCAGTTCAGAACGAAGAGAGGAAATGGGGTGGAAAAGAATTCTCTTGTGGACAATTTGTGCATTTTTGAGTTTCCTCTTAGATGAATCAGTTGGACATCAGAATCAAGTCATCATCTCCCAAAGGGACTCCAGTAAGTGAAATAAACTACGAGTCAAAGAAACTGAGTGATTACATTCACATTATTCATGTAAGAGCTAATGAACCAAGTGCAAGTTTGACGCTGGAGGATTAAGCAGCCTGAAAGATTTAAGGCAGCACAATTATCATCTTAATACCTTAAATACATTTTCTTACTTTAAAAACACACCTGATTCCCCAAAAAGGTATTCATGACAAGGCCAAACTGCCATTTTCTCACTTACAAGTGAGAGATGAACCTCATTGTGGATACACACTCACAGAAACGTACAGACACACACAGGTAGGCAGGCGCGCGCGCACACACACACACACACACACACACACACACACACTCTTTTCATCCATGGAGCACTGTGGAAATAAGGGTATAACCTCCCAAGGAGACTACTTTTAAAGACATCTAAGTTCTGGTACTTCTTGGCATCATCTGATATTGTCAAATATCCCCCCACCCTCCACCAGATCCTCTCTTTTACTTTGGTTTCAGAGATGCCATACTCTCCTGGTTCTTCCTCCTCTCTAATGCATTCTCTATCTCCTCATAATCTTCCCTAGCCCTTAAGGTAGGTATTCCCCTAGAGTTCCATTTTTGGCCTTCTTCAAATTGATCCAAGCATTTATTAAGCCCCTACTGTGTGCCAGGCACCAGGTACACAAAGACATTTAAAAATTAAACTGCCTCTTCTCTGCTTATGTTCTACTTTTCTTTTCATACCACACTCTCTCCTTGGACATCTCATCCATTCATCTACCAGGCTTAAACTACTACCTCCATGAAGACGAATCCTGAATCTCTATCTCTAGAACTCCCACAGGACAGCATTAAGTGAACATCTGTCAGGTACCTCAAACTCGGCATGGAGTAGTGGACAAAGCACTGAGCTTGGAGTCAAGAATCCCGAGTTCAAATCCTGCCTCAGACATTTACTAGCTGAGTGACCCCTGGACAAGTCCCTTAACCTTTATTTGCCCCAGGTTCTTCATCTGTAAAATAAGAGGGGTGACTCAATGTCTTCGAAGATGCCTTCCAGCTGTAAGTCTGTGATACTATATCCCAAACAGAGACCATCACTCTTTCCTCCAAAACCTGCTCCTCCCCCTTTCTATCTGGGGCACTACCACATCTCTCATGTCTGGCATCACCTTTCGAGTCTACTTTCTCAGCCACTTCTAATCCAATCCACAGCATCTGATTGTCCATTGTCTGACTGTCTTGTTTTCTTCCTTCCTTCCTTCTCTGTCCTCACTGCTACCAGCCCAGCTCACACAGCTCCTCTTGGTCACCCATATGGACAATTACAACAACCTCCCTAAAATCAAAAGTTTTTTCATCTCTATCCTCTTTTTCTCCCATGAGTCTCTATATGTGATGACAGAACAATCCTTCTTCCACACAGCTCTGATCAGGTCACTCTTCTCCCTAATGCATACCAAAGAAAGTTCAAAGGTTTTTGGTATTGGTAGAAGGGCACCTTATTTAAAGTCAGAAGACCTGGGTCCAAATCTTGGTTCTTTCCTTGGACAAAAGCACTAATTGGGCCTTAGATTCCTTCTACAAAATGAGGACTTACACTGGATTCCAATTCCAAATCTATTATCCTAAGATCCCCACACAATCTGACGTTACCCTGACTACCTCCCTAGTCTTGTTCTCATGCTCGCACCTCTCAACATCCCAACACCCAGAAGAGATCCTGGGCTTTGCTGGCTCTGTGCCTTTGCTGATGCCATTCGCTATGTCTGAAGTCTTCTGTCTTCCTCTCGTTTGCTAAATTCCTGCCCTAATTTCTATGCCCAGCTGCCATGCTGCCTCCTCCACGAGGTCTTCTCTGCCCCAGCTGCCACCCATCACCTCCAAGACTGGCCCTGGATCTCTCAGAGTGGTGCTGTTGGCAGGGGACTTGCTCCCAAAGATCCGGGGTCTCATTCGTATGGGTGCTCCCTCCATGGGCAGTCTCCTCTGGGATACCCTTCCCACAAATCTTGCAGAGGCCATCTTCCTGCACACATTTCACTTGCAACAGTGAAGCTCCTTGGCCTGTCTAGCTGCTAGTTCTTGCTCCCACAAGCCTGGCCCACTTTCGTTTGCAATCAAAAACTCTGGACATCTTTTACACCACTTCCTGCCTCATTGGAAGCATCATTAGGAACACGCTGCAGTCCACTTGTGGCCATGTTCCACACGTCCACTGCCTTTCAGTCCTCCACAAGTCAAGTCAAAAACAAACATCTATTACAATCTACAAGGTGCCAGGCACTGCGCTGCACAAAAGCACCTGCTCTCAACGAACTTATATCCCAAAGAAGAAAGCTCATGGTCACACACAAGGAAATGCCAAGTACACACGAAGCAAGTTCACAGGGGAGCATCAAAAACTGGAGGAATCGGGGCACGGCGCAGGAAGTGGCCCTTGGGCTGGGCCTAGAAGTCAGGGCCATTGCAGGCGCGGGCAGAGGCAGAGAGATTACACAAAGGCAAAGACACAAGAGGCAGAGCGTTATCTACAGGAAACTCCACAGAACCATCCGTATGCGAGTCAAGTCAAGGAGCATTTATGAAGCACTGCCCAAGCGCCCCGGCAGCAAGAGCAAAAGGTGCTTCTGGCCCAAGTCCAAGGGAGAGGTGGACTCGAGAAAGTCCAGGGAGTCAGGCATGCAGCCTGGAGTGGGATGTGAGGTGAAGCGAAGACATGTGAGATCAACCAGGAAACAAGTAGAGCCAGACTGTGAAGAGCTTCAAAGGCCAAAGGAACTTGAAGCATGTTTTGCATGACTTCATATGTGCATAATGGGCATCATATTTCTTGCCTTCTCAATGGATGGTGGAGAAAGTGGAGGGAGGAGAAAATCTGAAACTGAAAACAAAAATAAAAAAAAGACGAGCTTTACATAAGCATCATGTTGGAACCACTAACAGGGCCACCAACAGACTCCCAGATGCAGCGGATCTGACCTCTCTCCCTATTAAGCGCTAAGCCCCCTTCTTCGCCCTCCTGTAGTCCCTGCTCAATGTAAATGTCCTGAGGGATGGATTCAACGAGCTGCCTATTATTTTGCCCAGTCAGTCGGGACAACCAACGCTCTCTGTCCACTCGGTGCGCTGTGAAGCCTCTCTCCCTGAAGCAGTCTCGGGTCTCTCCGAGGAGGGAGGCCTGACCATAACTTGGCCATTTTCATCATCAGCACAATGTCACTCACAAGCAGGAGAACCCCTTCCTGCACCTGATCTCTGACTCTGGCTGGCACCTTGCATGAGGAGGACCAGGATCCCCTACCCTCGTGTACACCTGCCCCAAACCTGACAGTCAGATGGGGGCAGAACCCTGCTGTTAGGCTCACAGAGAAAAATGACCTTAGCTAAATACAGGCACGAGAGATGCTTGGCTGGAAAAGACTCTGCAGGGTCACACTACACTTTGATGAGCCAAAATGCCTTTGAAAGGAAGCAAACACATGGCTGTAGAAAACACATCTCTATTCAGAAAATATGGGAACGTCTTATGAACATATGCAGAGGGCCATAAGTAGAACCAAAACAATAAATACCATAACAACAGTATGGTATTTGTACATACATACGTATGTAAATATACAGATATACACATATGT